ACCTAGTCCTGGAGAGGGTGGCTGGGAATACTTTGAGTGCCAGAGGAAGCCCAGGTGTCTGTGAGTGTAAGATCGAAAGGAAGAAAGAAAGGGATCTACATTGAAGAAAAAGAGGAGGGGAACAGGTATTTATTTAGTGCTGCCTATATGCCATGTCCAGTGTTAACCATGTGATGAGTGAGGGGAACTAAGGAAGTAGTGTGTACTAAGAATAGAAAAGTAAGTTGGGGGCCATGTTAGGAAGATCTTTGAATGCCAAACGTTGGGGTTTATATTCAGTGATAGGATCTCACACACACACACACACACACACACACACACACACACACACACTCACGGAATTGTTTGAGTAGGAGAGTGATATGGTAAGCCTTCACTTTGGGAAAGTTGGAAAGTCACTTGGGAAGCTATGTGGAGTATATGGGTGGTGAATGAGAAGAAAGAGTTGTGCATGACCCCAAAATTGGGAAGATGAGAATTAGAAGTGGACTGATTGAGGGGGTAAATTCCCAAAGAAGATAGAGGGTATGGGATCAAAGGTACAAGTAGAGATATTGGTTTAGCCAAGATGAAGAAGCACGTTTCTTTAGAAAAGAGAACAAAAGATACTAAAGATAACGTCAGGGATTTTGAGATATAAAGCAGGGGAAAAGGAATTTGAGTTCATTGCAGATTACCTTTGTTTTCTCAGTAAGGTAGAAGTTGTAAACATCATGCTAAGAGGAAGAAATCGGGTGAAGGAGGCATTGAGGCCTTGAGGAAGCTAAAGAAAATTTGGGACAACCACTTTGGGTGGTGTGATAATCAAGGGAAATCTCAAGAATTACTGTATAGCAGCAATAAAGGCCAACGGTACCTAGGTGTCACTGTGGGTGGAGTGCTGGGCCTAGAGTCAGGGAGACTCACCTTGGTGAGTTCAAATCTGGTCTCAGACACTTATTGGCTGTGTGACCCCAGGGAAGTCCCTTAACCCTGTTTACTGTTGTTTCCAGATGTGTAAAATTAGCTGTAGAAGGAAATGGCAGACCACTCCTGTGTCTGCCAAGAAAACCCCAAATGAGATCATGAAGAGTCAGGCAGGACTCAAATAACTGAACAACAATAAGAGCTAAGTCAAGATTAGGTAATATATTTTGTAGTGGACCAACATTTGAATAGGAGTGAAACAGGGAATGATGTGAATAACTCAGAGTTGGCCTTTGGCAAGGCATGAGTGATGCAGAACAAGTTAGCAAGGAATTCAGAGGCAGAGAATAATATGTGGTTGAACTAATCAGCAATAGTGGCCTGACTGAGGGAGAGGAATAAAGAAAGAGGCCAGAGCAAGGGTGCTAAACTGAGAGGAGGAGTATGGGTTGAGAGGCAGAAGGTTGTAATGAGAATTAAGACTATTCTAGGAGGAGTTTGGCAGAGGGAGAGAAGGGAAGATAAGATATTGTCACGGGAGAGAGGAATTTCAGAATTCAGCATCGTGTAAGAAATAATGTTTGATGATGGGATCTATGGGATGGGCATCTTTATGGATGGCTGAGGTGGAGCAAAGATTATAGGACATAGGAGTTGAATAGGGAAATCAGGTGTTGAGGAGATACCAATGTCTATTGTCTACATATATTATGTTGTCTGTATTGAAGTCCTCTTTGATTGCAAGGATAAATTTGGAGGGGAAAATGAATTAGGAATTGGAGGAGAATTATCCAGTAAGTACCAAGAAATAGGATAAAATGATATATAGTTGTCCTTTCCACGTGGCAACTTTACCCATTGCAGTTTTGATATATTTCAGGTCAGCATAAGTAATTAAATGGGAATTTTTTGAGAATTTTATAGAAGCTGCAGATAATATGTGAAGGCTAGCAGACACAGAAAAAAATTTAGAAACTCAGAAATGCATAAAATATATGTATAGCATTGTATAATATCAACATTTTATCTTTTTATACCATAATAGTTCATACTTCTTCCCTGGTATGAAGGGAAGGGCAATAAATTTTATGTGAATTTTCCAGATAGTGAGGGTGCTGCATCCTTAACCCTTCCCCCCCCCAGTAATCTGGAAGGAATAACTGTAGACTGATGTGAATCTAGAAAGAAAAGAGAGTTAACTTAGTTCTCATGGCAGTGAAACAGTCTTGGAGTAAGCAGTCAAGAATAAGTAAATATACTTAATTTTCCTCTTCCCACAGTTTAGTAGAGATAAATATATTACAGGAAATATAGGAAGTTCTTACAGGGAATAAGAGAAGGAACACCTAGGACTGTATAGGGTGACTGGGGATACAGTGGCTTCCAGAGGAAGCCCAGGTGTTTGTGAGTGTAAGAAGATGGAAAAAGTGTGAAAGAAAATTATTTAGGATAAAAAGGAGGGGGAGGAAGGCAGGGAACAAGCATTTAGTGCCTCCTATGTGCCAGGGACTGTGCTGTTTTACAAATGTTATCTCATTTGAGCTTTAAAATAACCCTATGAGATAGATGCTGTTATTATCCTCATTTTGCAGTTGGGGAAACTAAGGCAGGCAGAGGTTAAAGTGACTTACCCAGGGTCACACCATGGTAAGTGTCCTGAGCCAGATTTGAACTCAGTTCTTCCAGGCTCTAGACCCAGCTCTATCCACAGTGCACTTAGCTGCCTCAATTAGTGTATATTAGTAAGCTAGTAATTAGATGCATCAGGGCATACTGGAAAGAGGACTGGTCTCGGCATCATGAAGACCTGGTTTTAAGTCCTGCTTCTGGTATAAAGGCAACTAAGTAGCACCAGACCTAGAGACAGGAAGACCAGAGTTCAAATCCAGCCTCAGACACTAGCTGTGTAACCCAGGGCAAGTGACTTAACCGCATTTGCCTCATTTTTCTCATCTGTAGGATGAGCTGAATAAGGAGATGGCAAACCACTTCAGTATCTTTGCAAAAAACAAACAAACAAACCCAAATGGGATCATGAATAGTCAGACACAACTGAAAAACAAAAAAATCTGGCGTAAGCATTCTGTTACCATGGACAAGCCTCTCAGTGGCCCATGAGACATTAATATAGATGGGTTGTCCATCTGCATTGGTGAAGAGAGTTTCCATACTGGGATTTCCTAACACCCATTAAATGTGAGGTCTGGATCATCCTACTTGACCACTGGAGAATTTGACACTGTTGACAACTCCTCTCCTCAATCCCTTCCTAGATACTTGATTTATGATATTGTTCTCTCCTGGTTTTTCTCCTACCTTTTTGGCCACTTCTCATCTCCTTTTTTAGGATCATTATCCAAGTTCTGAACAGTATAAGTGGGTGTTTGTCAGGGCTCTGTCTTAGACTCTCTTCTCTTTCTGTGGATCTTTATTCAAATGAATTTCGTATCTACTTAACTAGTCCTCATCTCTTTCTTTGAGTTCTGGTCCTACATTACCAGTGACATGGAGTGCATCTGAAACTTAACAAATCTGAAACAAAACTTATCTCTGTTTCCACTCTCAAAATCATTCTGTATGGTATTTACTTACCTGTCTTCATTTCTTTTTCTCCCAATAGAAAGTAAGGTCCTTGAAGGCAGACACTTTTATTTTCTGTCTTTGCATCCTTGGATCTAGCACAGTCCCTAGCACATACTATGTACTTGATAAATGCTTGTGAAATGAATGAATTAATGGGGGAGGAGACACGTAAGAGTGTATTAAGAAATTTTATTTTCTGGTCTCCTAATCTGGAATCATGTCCCTGTCTCCTTAATTCTTTTGATATAGTGGCAATTTTGGTTTTTGTAGTTGTGAACACAGCTTAACACATTATTAGGCATAAGCACCATAACATTAATCAGAATTGAATTCCAGTACAAAAAAGATTTGACATATATTTAGCTGTTTCATACTTATTTAAAATCAATAGGTGAAAAAATAAAATCAGTAGGTACTGGTTGTTACATGTCAATTCATACATAACTGTTCATTTAGATTGCTTCTTAAGCAACTGCAAAGTTCACACGAGGGCAGAGAGGGGACAACATTTTTCAGTTAGATGTTTCCTCATCTGTAAAATGAAGAGATTGAACTTAGCTTCTTAGGCCCTTTCCAGCTCTAAACCTACAATCTTTGCAGCATAATCGTTTTAAAGGGATAAAACAAAGACCCCTTACCCTTACCTAACATTTTTTTGGGGTGGAGGAGAATAGATGTATCATACTTGTTAGCAAGGCATTTTACTGCAAAGTACTCTCTTTGAGAAGCTTAAGGAAAGAAGTCCCAAAATCCTCTCTTTTGATGTGCAGTTATAAAGGATTCTGTTTTTTGCTATGTGCTTTAAATCTTCCTAGGTTCTTTGAACAAGAAACTTGGGCCCAGATTTGAACATTTCAAAAACAGTTTGAAAATTTTTAAAAATATGTTTTTGTTTCTTTAAATGTTTGGGAGATTCCTTTAAAAACAATTGAGGGAGATTGGCCTGGGGTAATAGACACATTATGTGTGTGTGTGTGTGTGTGTGTGTGTGTGTGTGTGTGCGCGCGCGCGCGCGCAGGCATATGTGTGTTTTGCATTCGTAGCTTTTATTGAATGATGAGTTTTGTTGAATTTCCTAACTTTTAAATGTATTTATTGTTTCCTTTTAAAATTAATCCGTAAGATTTCCAAGCTGAGTTTTCATTAGGATGCTTGAAAACACAAATGATTTTAGTTGGTAATATTTTGTTAGAAAATAGCAGTCAGCACCTGAAATTGTGATATCTCTTTTATAAATCCTGAGCTCTTACCTGTCCTAGGAGATAGAGGTCTAATTGCTTTGTTTACATTTATTTCCTAAAGGGAGAAAAAGAAAGAAAACATAGCCCTTGGATAACTTTTGAATTCCTTTTTGTTGTACATTCCTTACAAGAAATGATAATCTTTCCTGGATTTGGTTGCTGGGGTATTATGATAATATATCTTATTCTTTTGGTTTTTTTTAATGAGCTTAATTCAATTTAAAATGAAAAGTAATATTTTGATATTTTCTCTTTACATTTTCTGGATAGAGAGGCAGATGAAGGCTGTAAAAAGCCTTTAGAAAGATTGCTGAACATCTGGCAAGAAAGAAGTGTTTATGGTGGTGAGTTCATTCAACAGCTGAAGTTATCTATGGAAGACTCCAACAGCCCTCCACCTAAAGGTAGAAATATGTTTTCTTGCTGGACTTTACCTGTGTTAAAAATGGAAAATGGAAAAAATATAGTGGGAGTTTCTATGAATAGTTAGTCATTAAAAGAGTTGTCAGAGAAACAATAATTAGTAATTATAATAGCTTATTTATATAGCCCTTTAGGGTTTTCAAAGCATGACTTCCAACAGCCATTTAAAGTAGGTAGTATAAGTATAATCTCTATTTTGAAAGATGAAAAAACTTAGATTTTGAGAATTTAAATGACTTGCCAATGGTCATGTAGCTAGTAATGAACTGAAGCAACTCTACGACTCTTAAGTTAGAGGTGAGTTGCTGATGTGCATTGATTGGTATTTCATCATTGGGACTTCTCTGTAGCAGTAAAATCACAGGCACTGTGCTAGTCCTGGTGGAAATAAACCAAAAAAACCCAAAAACAAAAGTGAAAAAGAAAATAATTCTTGTCTTCAAGGAGCTTATACTTTACTGGGGAATACAACTTTACACAGAACAGAAAGTACAAGATAATTTAATGTGAGAGAGAGTACTAACAGCCCCTTCCTAGTTGATCAGAAGAAGCTTCTTCTGTGAGAGATGACACTTGAGCTGAGCCTTCAAGGAAGCAATGGATTCTAAGAATTTCAGGTGAGCAGGAAGTATATTCCAGAAATGAGTGATAACTTCTGCAAAGGGACCAAATGGGAGATGGAATGCCAAGTGAAGGAAACAGCAAGTAGGCTGGAATGTAGAGTACAGAGGAATAATGTGAACTTTCTGGAAAGGTAGTTTGGAGCTAGATTATAGAGGGCATTTGGTGCCAGGCTGAAGAGTTTGTATTTTATCCTAGAGGTAGTAGGGAGCCATTGATGATTCTTGAGCCAAGAGTCACATAGTCAGACCTATACTTTAGGAAGTTTATTGCAGTAGATGTGTAGAGGGCAAATTGAAAACAGGAAGAACTTTTAAGAGGCTTTTGCAGTCTCAGAGCAGGAAGCAGTGAGAGCTTGGACTAGATTGCTAGCTGTTCAAGAGGAGAGAATCGGAAGAATAAGAGAAGTGTTGTGGAGGTAGATTTAATAACTGATCAGATAAGGAGGATAGAGGAGAGGGAAGACTGAGGATAACTTCAAGGTTACCAACTTGTAGTATGTAAGCTGTCTTTCCTGTGTGACAAAGATTGGTGATACCTTTGACAGAAATAGGGAAGTTTGGAGGAAGGGTAGAATGCCTTGCAGGTAACTGGTGGTGTGGGATGGGCATTCAGGAAAAGATTAGGTTTGGGTATGTACATCTTTATAAAAATGACAGTTGGATCCATAGAAGCTAATGAGATCACTAAAAGTGGTTATGTAGAGTGAAGAGGATCCAGCAGGGCAGAATATGATTGGACTTTTATCTTCTTAGTCTTAAACTCTGTGCCACTTCTGAATGCAGCCTTGAATAATAGTGCTCTTGGTTACCATATCACACTGTCGACTTGTATTGAGTATGTAGACCATTAAATCTCCACTAGATCCATTTTGAATTGTTGGCTAGCCATGCTTCCTCATCTTATATTTGTAAAATTGACTTATTGAACCCAAATGTAAGACTTTACATTTTTCCCTATTAATTTTGTTTTACTAGGCATAGCTTTTACATCTATCTATCTATCTATCTATCTATCTATCTATCTATCTATCTATCTATCTATCTATCTATCTATATCTATCTATCTGTGTGTGTGTGTGTAGAGAGAGAGACAGACAGACAGACTGCAGACTGTTAAAGTCTTTTTGGATCTTCACTATTGTCTCTCATAGCTTTGAGTCATCTGCATATTTGATAAGCAGACCCACTATACCTTTAACCATGTTGTTGATAAAAATGTTAAATAACACAAGGCCAAACAAAGGTCCTTGGGGTACTCCAAAAGAGACTTTCTTCCAAGTTGACATTGAGCCACAGCTAAGTCTCAATTAATGCAGGCTTAAATAATGTGAAATTTGACTTAGTGTGAATTATAAAATACCAGGTCATATTAATGCCAGCCAAAATTCATTTTATGTGCTGCATGAGAGCAAAGTAAGGATTTTAACATGCTGCTACATAGTCATTCTGTGTTTGATTATCCTCCTGTGTGGATGTGATGCATACCATATTACCCACAGTTCTATTAAATTTTTTTTAGAAAGAACCTTTAACAAAATGGACAAAAGGAAGGACATGTCAGTTGGAAATACTGCCAGTGCAAAATAAATAAATAAAGAGGCTTGTTACTACATTGGAACAAAGTTTTGTTGTAATTGAATAGTATGAATGTGATTATAGTAACTTTAAAATAGGATGAGATGTTGGAATGCCTGAATCTGTGGAATGGAATATTCTAAAACATTTAAGTAAAATAAAAAGATAAAGTTGCATCAGTTTTTGGTGATTTGCATACAACTATGTAGGGAAAAAGTGTTAGAAATACGGCATCTTTTTGTTTTATTGATTGAAGATTGCAGTAAAAAACTCATTTCTTTTAGTGGAACAGCCAATCAGATAAAAGCTTCAAGTTTAAGGCAGTAGAAGGAATGAGAAGTGAAGGGGATAGTCAGCAACGTTTTATTGGCAAGCTTTGGTTTGATTGCGCTAAAAATCAAGTTCAACTGCATAATGTTAAAATTACCAGAGAGGTGGCTAGTGCAGATGAAAATAGAGCAGCTAGAATATCCTGGTGTTTTGAAGAAAATAATTGCATGATATTCTACAAAATTTTGAAGTGAATGAAATCGGCTTATTCTGGAAAGTGACTTTAAAAACAACAAAACAATATATTTACTAAATATGGGATTTGTTGCATTTTAATAATATTTTGATTTTTCATAATTACACATATAGTTTTCAACATTTATTTTTTTTCCCTGGCATTCATTTTTCTAAGATTTTGAGTTCCAAATTTTTCTCCCTCCCTTTTTTACCTCCCCTCCTTCCCAAGATGGCAAGCAGTCTGATACAGGTTATACATATACAATCATGTTAAACATATTTCCACATTAGTCATGTTGTGACAAAAAAGAATCAGAACAAAAAGGAAAAAATACAAAAAGCAAAAAAACAAAAAAAATGAAAATAGTGTGCTTTGATCTGCATTCAGACTCCATAGTTCTTTCTCTGGGTGTGGATAGCATTTTCCATGATAAGTCTTTTGGAATTGTCTTACATCATTGCATTGCTGAGAAGAGCTAAGCCTATCAAAGTTGATCATTGCACAATGTTGCTATTACTGTGTACAATGTTCTCTTGGTTTTGCTCACTTCACTCTGCCCAAGTCTTTCCAGGTTTTTCTGAAATCTGTCTGCTCATCATTTCTTATGGAACAAGAGTATTCCGTTATGTTCACATACCACAATTTGTTCAGTCATTCCCGAATTGATAGGCACCCCCTCAATTTCCATTTCTTGGCCGCCACAAAAAGAACTGCTTTAAGTATTTTTGTACATGTGGATCCTTTTCCCTTTTGTATGGTGTCTTTGGGATATAGATCTAGTAGTGGTATTGCTGGATCAGAGGGTATGCATAGTTTTATAGCTCTTTGGACATAAAGAATTTATATTTCTAAGAAAGAAAAAGCTTGACCTGGACTTAAAGTGTCCAAGGATCGCCAGATATTTTTATTGGGAGGTAAGATAGGAAGAAGACTTTTAAGTTAAAACGAGTGTTTGTTTATCAGTCTCAAAACCCTTGTGCTCTAAAAGGTTGCAACCATCTATCACTTCCAGTTCTTGAGTGTTTGAATGCTAAAGCATGGGTGATTAAGGGTATTTTCAAAGACTGGTTTTCAAATTATTTTAGCTCAGCTGTTGAAAAATATTGTAAGGACAACAGCATTGCATTTGAAGCATTACTGATTTTAGTCATTGTGTGAAAATGTGAACATGCAAATTTACCAAGATGTGTATGAAATTCTTAGCATCTACCAACATATTATGAAGATGATAGTTCAGTCTATACTGCCAAAATATTTTAAATAACAATAATGATGCTTTTTGTCATGGCATCAGTGTAGGCTTATCTTTAGGTGTGATATTCAGTCATTCTTTAAAATTTTGCTTTCTGTAACTGCTGTGTAAAAAACTTGAATCAGAAACACATTTTTTATCCTTTGTTATATTATGTTAATGAACAGATAAAAAACTTACTTAAAAAAATTTCATTGCATATTTCCATTGGACTAGGACCAAATCACCATATTTTACATATAATTATAACTTATAATAGTGCATATTCTAATAATATGACCTGTTAATGAGATTTATTCTTTGCACTAATCGAGACATGGCCGTTTTAATTCCATATCATTTAATGTTACTAATTAATGATTCTTTTGTGGGTCCAGCTATTCAACCATTTCCAAAAATACCTAACTACTACTCTCTAGCCTACACTTTTCTGTATTGTCTGTGAGAGGAGCATGAGAAATTCTGTCAAATGCTTAACAAAAATCTAGGTAAAGGATGTCTGTAGTGTTTGATTTACCAGTCTGGTTGGTTAGTCATCAAGCATTGAGTGCTTCTTAGGTGCCTGACTCTGTACTAAGTGCTGGAGATAAACTGAAAAGCAAAAACATAGTCCTTGCCCTCAGGGAGCTCATATTTTAATGGATTGTGTGTGTGTGTGTGTGTGTGTGTGTGTGTGTACACACACACACACACACACACACATACACAGATACACATACATATGAGTGTGTATATTCATTCATTCATTCATTCATTTATTTAAGAAGCAGTCTCAGAAAGGAGAGGAACAGGAAGGATCTCCTTCAGAAAATAGTATTTGAGCTGAATTTTGAAGGAAGCCAGGGGAAGTAAAGAGAGCAAAGAGCATTCTAGTTATGGGGTAGACAGCCAGTGTATATGCACTGATGGAATATCATGTGTGAAGAATAGCAAATAGGCCACTATAGCTAGAGTATAGAGGTGAGTAAAGTACATAAGAAGATTAGAAAGGCAAGAAGGGGCCAGGTTATGAAGAGATTTAAA